TTTGGTTTCATTGTATTATCACTTTTCACATATTTTGTATAAGCCTGTGCTTTTCCGCTTACTTTGTAACTTTCATGGAGTATAGGATTTGTTTTCTATTCTGCTTCTCGGGCAAGAGTAGGTGGTACTGGAATAAGTTAATAGGCTTTAATTTTAGCTTCAAGAATAGTTTATTGTGACCTTGTTGCTACTGTCAGCCATAGTTTTTGTTGGCGTTCCTTGAAATAACAGAGCCAATTATAATTAAATTCATCTGAATTGTGGATTAAAGGCAAAAACTTATCACTAGTATGCTGAAAAGATCAGTGGTGTCTCATCTGTGGTTGAATACTGACTCCTGCCCTTGTCATTATGAGAGAAGAGCTTTCTTAGAACCTTCCAGAAACTGGAAGGAAAGAGAGATGATGGTTCTGGGTTGTTTTTTTTTTTTTAATTTCTATTTCCTCCCTAAGATGAAGGTCCTTAGATGTTTCTTTAATCTTCCTGCTTTCCCTTCCGACTTTCTCCTCCCCCTTCTTCCCTTCTTCTTTCCCCCAATTCCCAATTTCCCTCCTTCTACCTAATCTCCCTCCTTTTCTTGACTTTTCTTAGACACAGCATCACTATGTATCAGAAATTGGGCTTGAGTTAGAATCTTCTGCTTCAGTCTCCTGAATGCTGAGATTATAGCCATGTTCTATCACCCTTGGCTTAGCTTTTCTTTATTTTTAATCTTCTCTTTTAAACTGTGGGAGATTTTTAAATTTGTATGAAAGTTGGCAAGATAGTATAATGACTGCCCTCTCTACCTACTTTGCACCTAACTTTCCCCTGGAAATGAATATTTTTCTTTCTCCTTTTGTAATTTTTATACTCTTTATCCCTGGCTCCTGTTTTTGTTCTTGTCTTTGGCTCAGGACATTTTCTGCAGTTTTAAGAGAGTTGTTGGTGGTAGACATCTGTGTCTTAGTCAGTCTTGGGGGAGATGTCTCATTTGTCATCACTCATGATTGGGACTGGTTGTGAGTCTGTCTGTCTGTCTGTCTGTCTGTCTTTCTCTCTCTCTTTTTCTTTCTTCCTTTCAAATAGCATTTTATCAGATTGGTGAGTTCTAGGCCTGCCAGGACTGCATAGCGAGACCCTGTATAGAAGGAAGAGAAAAGAAAGGAAGGAGGGAGGTAAAGAAAGAAGCAGAATCTTGATACACCCAGACAGGCAGGAAAGGAAAACAACTATACTCCAGCTGGGTGGTAGTGGCACTTGCTTTTAATTCTAGAATCTTAGCACTCAGAAGGCAGAAGCAGGTGGATCTCTGTGAGTTTGAGATCACCCTGGTCTATAGAATGAGTTCCAGGACAGCCAGGGCTACACAGGGAAACCAGTCTTGGAAAAAAAAAAAAAGAAGGAAACTTATACTTCAGTAGTCTTTCATAAGCAATCTCAAAATCATTGGCAAAACAGTAAAACCTAGGCATAAAAATTTAAGATACATTGAAAAATCAACTAATGAAGAGGGACGTGCCAGATGGGGGGAATGCAAGTAAAATAATCCCAAGATAGCTCCAAATATGGTACAATAAGGGGTTCTTTATTAAAGGGAAACTCACAGATCACCCAGGGGAACAGGGCAAGCAGGAGAGACAGAGTGTATGTGTGTGTGTGTCTGGACCCATGTGCTTTTTGGTACCCAGTGCCACACCCAACCTGGTCAAGCCTCTCAAAGACTATTGACTGAAGGAAGTTCCCCATCATCTCCCCTTTTTATCTAAATGAGAGAATTTTAAACCTAATACAAAACTATATACAATAAGAACATATCAAGTATAAAAATTAGAATTAACCAGCATAAACAATATTAAGCATAAAACATATGCTAAATGTTTCAATAATTATTTTATCTTAAGGAGTCTAAGTCTTGTATTAGAAATGGCTTGGCTAAGCCATAAGAGGAAAGTAACTGTTCCTATCTCTAGTCTTCAACCCCATCAAAGACCTGAGAAGGGAGCTAATATTACTTGAGTAGGTAGGAAGTGCAATCAAGCACCTTCCAAAATGTACAGTAGATGACAGAGACAAATGGCTACCTGGGCAATCACCAGGTAGCAAAAGTTTCATTTGCAGCATTGGAGCAACCAACTTTGGCTAAGGCCTAGAGTAACTGACAGATCATTTCAGAGGCAGGAATATTTTCAAAACCATCTTACCCTGTCTTGGAAAGGTATTGCAGTCTTTTTTTTTTTTCTCATATCCTGCTTGTCCTGTCCAGACACCGTACATTTTGTCAGTGGTTGAGGCATGGGCAGTTCCTTGCCCAAAGGTCAGTTTTGTCAAGAAAACAAGCTCCAAGTGGTCCAGTCTTTGGTGTTCAACATTCTCTTGGGAATAGATCAGTGCTGCCAGGAGCAATCGTATCTCACGTCAACAGATCCCTTGGTTATTTAAATGCCATATTCTACAGTTCTTTGAAGTGGTTGAAGATTACCTATCTATGCAGAATACAGTCTATGTATCTAAAGAACCTGATTAGTCTAACTATAAGTATTACAAACATGGATGACTATTGGTCTATAATACTTAATACCTATGTAGTTTAAAGACTTCATATTAGAATATTAAACATCTTTAAAAAACTGGGCAGCAAATGAGGATAATGATCTCAAATGTAAACAGTATATAACTCTCTTGATCAGAGGTAGAAATGTATAATGAATGCCACATGATAAGTATATTCTAAAATTGTATCAATATACAAAGTGTCTTAAACAGAGGTAGAAACATGCATGCATACAATATGATAAAATAACTTTGCATAGGTGTGCAAATTTCTTTTTTTTTGAAGATAAAAAGCTATGTATTTATCTTAGGTTTAAAAAGCTCAATTGTGTGGGAAATTCAAGGCAAGCTGTGTTGGTTACATTGTTCTCTTAAAGGTGGGTTAACTTTGAACAGGCTGAGGACACAATAGGAGAGGAAGTACACAATCTTACACAATAGGAGAGGAAGTTAAGTACACAATCTTACACAATAGGAGAGGAAGTTAAGTACACAATCTTACACAATAATACAATCTTACACAATAGGAGAGGAAGTTAAATATTATAAACAGAAATAGGAGCATATTCAATATAACAAATACAGTTTGAATTTGTATCAATATATAAGAATCTATACCAGTGTAAATTGTCTATAAATAATAGCTCACAAGTATTCACTCCATTATCCTTTAGGAAATTTCAGTGAATAGATGTAATCTTTATTGGCCAGCAGGTGTTGTGGTTGCAGCCATGTGGCGAAACAAAGTGGAGGAGAGACATGAGGAGCCGTGGACAATCTCGCTTTGGTTTTGCGCTTGTTGCCTACTTAGATACTGACAAATATGCTTTGCTTAACAAATTAAGAGCAGTTATTAAGGACAATTAATGCAATTCTGTACATGGAGAGAGTTTTGGTGGCTTTCTGTCAGTTGCGAGCCACACAGTTGGCAGATGTAATGCCGCGTGGATCGCAATGTGATAAAAAGAATGGTGGGCTGCTGTGGGGAAAGTTGGGATCCTAGGCAGTGGCAGGTGGGTGAGATGTGGATGAGAAACATGATCTAGCTGGTTAACGCGGGGTGTGGTGGTGGGTTTCTGGTAAGCATGGACTCGTTCCCACGTTGGGCAGCATATAAAGGGGAATGAGCCAGACTGGGGGAAATGTGACTAAAATAATCCCAGACTAGCTCTGGATATGGTATAGTAAGGGGTTCTTTATTAAAGGGGAACTCACAGATCACAATGGGGAACAGGGACAGAATCCAACATTCAGGTGTGTCAAGCAGGGAGAGAATGAGAGTGTGGCTGGACCCGCATGCTTTTTGGTACCCAAGGTTACGTCCAACCTGGTCCAGCCTCTCGAAGACCATTGGCCAAAGGAGGTTCCTCATCAAACTGATGTAACTATATTAGCAAAATAAAGTAGAAAAATGTATATAATCATAGTGAATGCGTAAATGCATCTGATACAATTCAATAGTACTTTATAATAAAGATAAACCTCTCGTATGTTTCTTTTGAATATTTTATGGCTTGATTAGTAGCTTTTTTCTTTTTTTGTGAACATTATGGACCAAATGTTGTAGAATATGTAAAATCTTTCTTTGAAAGATAGTGTATTTTGTTCTGACAAGCAACTAAATTACCAGCTTCTTGCTTTTGTTCCATTAAGGGTGGAGCGATGTATTATTATATTCTGTTTTAGTTTTACACACATATATACATGCATACACATGAGATTTACACATACAGAAGTAGACACACATATGCGTGAATGCACATTTGTGTGAAAACACAATGCACAGTGTTCCTTTCCCTAAGGTATAGCCTCTGTGACGTCTCACTTCAGTCCCCATGTCTTCATGAGGGTATTTGCTTTGTCCTTTCCAGCACTGACGTCTGCCATCTGTTTACCAATGTCTTTTTCCTACCAGACCCCTGTGGGGGTTTTGTCTTTGTGTACCCCAGAGATGATTGTAGATGGTTGAGAGGATTTTTTCTCGTGACTCCCACATGCCAAGCATCCTGTGTCCCCAGTGCTCATCACCTCTGCCCAGAATTGAGATCACTTTTCCTGCTTAGATGTTAGCTCAATATGCAAATCCATAAAAACGCTTCCAAGTGAAGGGAGATCTTGGAGCAGTGTCAGTCACTTATGTGTCTCTTCTAGTAAGGACCAGACTTCTGTGCTGATTGTGCTGTAGTGATGCTGTTGCTTCATGTATTTCTTCAGATTTTATTTAGCCATTGTAGAGGAAGACTCATAGCAGCAACTAGAACCCAATATACTTGAAGTCCTAGTAAATACCTTTTAATTCTGATTTATTGCTCTGTTTGTTGTTTTAAAAGAAACTCTTTAGTTTGGTTGTGATTGCAGCATGAATTTTGTGTTTCAGAGAAACAAGTGTTAATTGGGAAGATCCCAGTTTATTATGTCTAATTTGACATAGTTTCCAATCTTTTCCCCCTTTTTTTGTGTGATTCAAGGACTCGCCTGTTGCAGTTTGCTTTAGAGTCACCACCCATATCTCCTGTGTCTTCCACCTCAAAGAAAGTTGTTGCTAAAGTGCATAATGCTGAAGCCACCAAACACCCTGTCAAACAGGGGAGCAGGCTGATGGACAAGTTCCTGATAAGAGAGACGGGGGGAAAAGAAAATGACAGGAAGTATAGCCCTCAAAAAGAGATAAGCACCTCTACTGAGGCTAAAGAGACAAGTCTCGAGGGAAAGACAGTACTTGGTCCCTCGGATGCTAATGGACCTGTGACACCCTCTACATCCACCATGAAACTGGAAAATAAAGGTAGGAAGTCATTTTTATATATGCCTTTTCATACTTAAGGAAATCTCATTCTTGTGGTGTAAGTTTAACAGGCAGCGCGTTTGGGGGGGGGGGGAGTAAGAAGGCATAGACCAGGTTCTACTTTACTGTGTCTCAGACATGATGCAGTCAGTGCTTAGAGGTAGAGTTTTTGTCTTTTTCATAGAATAGAGTCAGGATGATTCATGCAGAAGTGAAATGGTTTAGTAGTTAATGCTTCTTGTGGTAGCTTTCTGTTTTTAGATTGGAGCCCTCTCACCTCATCCAGTTCCAGTTAGCTCTTAAAGAAGCCTCCATTTTATGCCACAGGTTGACTACTTCCTTGATGTTCTGCCTGTAGTTTAATGTCCTTTGGCATATGACATGTACTTTGGTAACCTTCCTTATCTCTTAGCTCTCCCTCCCAAATGTCTCTGAAGCCAAGTTGTTGTCTCACTCTTTGTACAGTGCACCCATAGACTGACAGTAATTGAAAACCAGAGCTGGTGTGCCGCTTGTATGGTAAAGACAGGTTTGCTGGAGCATGCACTCCTTCTGTGTTTACATATCATCGCTGAGGTTTCCATGCTGCAGTGGTGCAGAGTGGCCTCATGATGACAGAGCCAGGATTCTGGTGGGAAGACTCATCTGGAAAGCCCCTGACTGACCTCTATGGCCTCATCTTTTACTAGGAACGTGTGTCTTTAGCAAACCCTTGCAGCCCACAGGTGAAGGCCAATAGTAGTGTTTGGGGTTTTTTTGATTACATGTATCTCATACCACATCTCACTCTGGACCACTTTCTGTGGTTTTTGCTGTTGTGTTTTTAATTTCATTGGGACATGTTTTCAACTCTTGTAGAACTTTTTTTCTCTCCAAATGAAATCTTAGAATGAACCATAGCATATAAAATAGATAAAATTCTTTGTGTTCTATTAAAAATCAGAGTAGGGAGCCTTCGTTTTACTCATAATTGTAACCTCATTACAGTGTTGTTGACATTGCTTCTAGGGTAAGGTAGTCCTAGGGCCTGGGAAAGGCTCAGCATTATGGTCTGCTGGTACCTTGGTAGCAAAATTGTAGCTAAAGCATTTTCTAATTAGCTAACTTCCAAACTTACTTCAGTCTCTAGGCCTAGGATTCTGATTGTGTGACACCCCACAAAGTAGCTAGTTACTAGTAACCAGTTTTACCCGCTTTCCGTGCCTTGTGGGTTTTTCTAAGAGCAGATTACCTAGGATTCTGTCTGTGCCAACTTGTTTATTTTTCCCCTTTCTTTCTCTCTTTTTAAAATGCAGTGTCTTGTCCCGTTTGTGAGGTCAGCATTTCAGAAAATCACATCAATAAGCATTTAGACAGTTGCTTGACACGTGGAGAGAAGAAAGAGAGTCTTCGAAGGTAAGAAAGCCGAGCTTAGCTGCTGACCTGCTTTGGCTGGGTGCTTCTGTGCTTTATAGACGTGAATCAAAACCAGGACTAACCTTTTGTCCTGGTGACTAGTGCTTCCTGCTTGATTTTTCCTCTAACTCTGCTTACCTTTCCATCCCTCACTCTTGTTCCTCCTTCAGCTCACACTCTGCCGTATGTCAGTAGCGGATCAGTGCTTGCTAACTGCTATATCATGACTTAGAGAAACTACTGACTTAGAATCACTTGTCTTTCTTGCTGTTGTTGTTGTTGTTTTGAGACAGGGTTTCTCTGTGTAGCCTTGGCCGTTCTGTAGACCAGGCTGGCCTCAAACTCACAGAGACTAGTTCACTTTGTTTTTAGAATTCTCAAACTTTTGTACAAAGGCCTTGCACAAAGAAAGCAAGGACAGTTTGAATTTAGAACATGTAAAATCTTTCATTAGTTCTTAGGATGTTTTAGTATTTTAAATAGATATTTAATTAATAAGAAATTTAATATCTTAAATATTAATTTAAATCAAACTTATTGTATTTTTGTCTGTCTGATTGTCTGTATTTATATAGGGCTCAGAATTGAATTTAAAACCTAGTACTTAGTGAACGTCTTTAAAAATTAGTTTTTGAATTGCCTGTTCTACTTACATATGTAAAAATGATACAGAAGAATATTTATAATTGGATATGGTGGTGTATGCCTACAATCTTAGTATTCAGGAGGCTGAGACAGGAGAATCAAGGGCAGCATAGACTACTGAGAAGTAGGTTAGCCTAGGCTACAGTGACATTCCAGCCCCACGTTTCTATTTCTTCCTTGCCAGAGAATGTGTATGGAATGTAAGGACTTTGTCTTCAAAACACCAAGAGATGACATTACTAATAAGTTGTGAGGTCAGTATTTGTATCCAGACTACTGTGCTACTTTGCATCCTTTGTGTATCAAAGTCTCCAAATCTAAAACTAGTTCACATGTGTGTTCAAGGAGTGATATTTTTATTGAAGTTAAATTGTAGGGCTTCAGGAATCTGGCTGGTAAAAACAGTAAGGAAGAAATGTCGTGTTTGAGTCTGGGTGATGATAGAGAAATGTAGTTGGGAGCGGCATGGGCAGCAAGGTCAAGGAAAGATTTTATTTTTAAAAGTAGCGTACAGGCCTTGGTCTTTCTGCTATTGTCTGACAGTAAGTAGAATAGTGGTGAGCACAGGGAATGAAGTTGGGGAAAGTTGGAGAGAATAGGTGGAAAAGAGAACAGGGCTGACGATATTAGTGATGCCTGGAAGGCGGGAGGAAGAGAATTGTTGGCTCTTGTGTGTGTCTCATCTGTTTTGAAGAGTATTTTCCCAAAAGCATTCTCTCCAAAGAGAGGGCCATCTTACTGATTTAATTATTAAAACTAAAAAATGCCACTTTTTTTTGTGTGTGTAAGTTTGGAGTGAATGCAGGTTTCAAGGGACAGACTGCTGCTGAATCTTACAAAGGCTGATGTTGAAGGGTAGTGATGTGTTGCTAACTCACAGCACAGGCTGTACTTGACTCCAAGCCTGGGCAGTCCTGTGCTCACAAGGATTGCCTTCTTGTATCTACAAGTTTGTTGATGGGAATAGAATTTAGATGTTTATGTTGCTAAGTTAGGGGGAATTTGGGATAATATAAACTGGTAGCTTCCAGGATGACTGCTAAGCCATTAGCATCTTATTACTTGCTTTTTTTTCCTTCTGTTTTTTCCAGAGTTGGGAGTAGAAAAGCTGAGTATTTTCTTCCTGAAGAGTAAGAAATTGGCACTGATGAATGATCTGATCTTGTTTAGATTGTTCTATTTCTAGATGTATCTGTTGTATTCTTCTAATTCTTTAGCTGTGTCCAGTGGTGTTCCAAATCTGGTTGCTCAGACAGTCCTGCCAGTTGGTCCCCAGTGCAACTTAGAACTGTGTCACTCTTAGTAGACTGAAGGTCCTCACTCAAGGTACCTGCTGGAGTTTGTTGTATTTCAAACTCCTAAATTTCCTTTACTCCAAGGGTTTTGATTTTTGTTTTTGTACTCACAAGTCATTTTTTACGACATTATTCAGGCACACTTAGGGAAACATGAAGCTAAATCTTCTTAGTTTTATACTGGCCTGGGGTTTGGTCACGTAAAAGTCTCTGTGTCTTAAGGTCTCTTTTTACAACCCTAAAAGGTCAATTTCTGGGTGTGGCTGGTAACCCTTTTACCACCCTATGTAGAACTGTCTGATGGTTTAGAGCAGAACTCTTTCTATAGCTGTCTAGTTCTGAGACTTCTGACGTGTGTGATTCCACTTCACCGAGTCAGCATAGGAAAGATCAGTATCATTCCATGCTTGGGGTAATGCTTCTCTGACTTCATAGTCTCAAATTATTTTCTTTGTTTTATTTTTATTTTATGATAATTGGTATTCTCCAGCATGTTTGTCTGTGTGAGGGTGTTAGAGAAGCCCTGGAGTTGGAGTTACAGACAGGTATGAGCTGCCATGTAGATGCTGGGGATTGAACCTGGGTCCTCCAGAAGAGCAGCCAGTCAGTGCTCTTAACCGCTGAGCCATCTCTCCAGCTCCCATACTTTCACTTCTTGACAGAGATGGTTGATGTCTGATGTTGCTTTCATTGTGAATGCCAGTGGACACTTCACATCTTTATTAGAATTTTATAGTTGTTATTGTCTGTCTTTGATCAAATAAATGTTTTAGTTAGAGACTTAATGAATTGCTCCTCCTTTTGTGCTTGCCATAAACACAGCAGAATGATTCAGTTGATCCTACCTGCTGTGATTTTATTTTACCATAATGTCATCAATCTGGTAGGGCCTAATTGAATGCCATTATAAGAACAATTTGGAAAAATATACTCTGTGGAAGTTTTCAGGTCCTTTTATAAATAAGTAGTTATTTCTGGCTTTCCAGGCTTTACTAACAGAGCATAAAAGAGATAATTTAGCTAGAAAATGGTCATTGTGTGAGTAGAACAGTTGTATCTCTACTTGACTGTAATAGCGCTCTCAGTATGACCTTTGGACCACCACATCAGATTTACCTTAGGAAACTGGAAAGTAAAGATTTTCAGCTTCCACTTTAGGTCTGCATCATGTGGATGGGTGCTGTAGAGAAAGTAACTGAGGAAGTGTTGCATTTAAACTACACTCTCCTGGCAGTTCTGAGGTTCTTGAAGTTTGGGAAGCATCAGCATTTGAACATTTTTTGCTTTTTTTTTTTTAAAAAAAAACTTTATTTTAAACCCTGTTACTCTTAAGATCTTATTAATTTGCTGTTGTCATTTTGAAATGATTGCAGTAGTAAAGACTGCTTTGACAACTATTTATTATACACCTAATTGCCCATAGAGCTGAACCTCTACTCAGAATGCGTATGCTGACACTTGCCCATCTTTCTACCTTAGTATGGGTGTGGGTAAAGCATGTTCATGTGTAGAGGCTGTATGTGTGTATGTTAGCATGTGTGTGGAAGAGTTCAACCCTGGGTATCATACTCAGGAGTATATTCTACCTTGTTCTTTGAGACAGAGTTTCACTGGGACATGGCCTTGCTGGTTGGTTAGGCTATCTGACTAGCAAGCTCTAAGGATGCTGTTTTTACCTCCCCAACTTTTTATATGGATGCCAGAGGTCAAACTCATGCTTGTGAGGCAAGCACTTCATTGACTAAACTTTCTCCCTATATTCTTCTTTTTTTATCTTAATGGCTCAACTATTTTTGTAGTCAGTCAGGTGTTGTGAAGGCAAATTACTATTTTATTGAGAATATTTGATAATTCAAAATAATCTTCAGATCTCTTTTTTTTTTCATTTTAGTTCTGCTCACAAAAGGAAGCCACTGCCAAAAACAGTGTATAATTTGCTCTCTGATCGTGATTTAAAGAAAAAGTTGAAACAGTATGGCTTATCCATTCAAGGAAACAAGCAGCAGCTTATTAAAAGGCACCAAGAATTTGTACACATGTATAATTCCCAATGTGATGCTTTGCATCCTAAATCAGGTAAAGTAATACATCTGTTCTCATCTTTGGATAAAGAAGTGTATGGCTCAGAGATTATAAACCACAGAAAGAATTTTAATAAGTACCTTTTTGGCAGCAGATATGCAGGTGAATCCCTTCGAGAGCTGCCTGGAGAACACTGCTAAGGCCATCATCCTCTCAGGCTGTTTCCTGGCCCCAGTTCCCTTCGCAGAGGAATCACTATTGCCAGTGTTTTGAGTATCTCTCCAGAGGTGGCGTGGTGGTGAAGAGTGATATGGAGGCCTACAGTCCTCCTAGTTTATGCTGAGTGACTGTGAATAAGTCGTATCTCTGTACTTTAATTTTCTCATCTGTAAATTGAGGATTATAATCCTACATGCTGCATGTTTTTGAGATGATAGGATGCATTCGGATATCAAGTACAGTACCTCAGCAAGCACTTAGAACTCCTTAGATATTTCCATTATGATTATTATACATAAGCAGACATCCTTAGTTGGTACTGATTCATAAAAATGTCAGTATTCTCCATGTTGTTTTCACTTGACCATGCATACATTTTGGAGTTCTTTATAGGTAAGATCATTTAGAATTGAAAAAATGAAGAGTGATATGAAAACAGAAAGTGCATGGTATGATAAATTTTTGAAGTGAAAATGCCTCCTGAGATTACGGTCAAAATCCTAGAATCCCCTCCTCCCAGGTATGGTTGTCTCCATACATCTGCCTACTGTCTATTTACTCTGTGTCCTTGAGCTGAGTGAGTTGGGTAACAGCCACAAGTTCATCCCTGTTCCAGTGCCTTTGTGATTAGAGCTCTTTTCTGCTCCACTACATTTCTGTCCACTGCTTTACCCAGGTTCAAGCTCCTTTCTTTTCAAATTGCACATTTTTTATATTTTTTTGTTCTATTTTCTGAGAATTAGTATAGCTGCATTGAGCAGTAGCCATGCCATAGCCCAATGTTGTACTATTGTAAGATTTCCTCCACCAAACAAAGTAATCCATGATTTTTTACTTCAGCCCTACTGACATAGTCAAGACTGGCAGAATGCAGTCAGATTCTTTGCTAGAGTATTACACAAACGGCCTCAACTCTTGTCCTAGTTCTAGTAGAGCTCTTGTTGCCCTCTGAAACCTCTTGAATACAGTCTTCGTTGTCTATGTTTCAGCATCCTGGTCTTCTTCTTTCCCACCAGTGGCCTATCAAGCTGCACTTAAAGGATTCTAGCACTTTAACCTGCAGCCTCATACTCTTGCACAGTCCTTCTGCATGTTACTTCCAAAGGCCAGTGAGCCACATGGTCGTTTGTCACAGTGACTCCATTTTCTGTACTTGTTTTCTTTCTTTCTTTCTTTCTTTCTTTCTTTCTTTCTTTCTTTCTTCCCCCCCTCTCTCTTTCTCTCAGATATTAGATATTTGCTTATTTATTTACTTATTTGTGTTTATGTATGTGTGTCCATAGAGGTCATAGGAGGGTATTGGGTAAATCTTTTGGAACTGGAGCTACAAATGGTTGTGAGTGCCTTGTGGGTGCTGGGAATCAAGCCTGGGTCTTCTGGAAGAGCAACCACTGCTCATAACCACTAAGGCATCTCTCCAGGCCCTCTGTGCTGATTTCTTTGTTTGTTTTGTTTTTCAAGATAGAGTTTTTCTGTGTAGCCTTGGCTATCCTGGAACTCGCTTTGTAAACCAAGCTGGTCTTGAAGTCAGAGGTCTACCAGCCTCTTTTTTCCAAGAACTGGCATTAAAGGCATGCACCTCCAAGCCCAGCTTGTTCTGTAATAATTTTTTTGGTATTAGTTACTTTCCTTTACTGTGTGACCAAATACTTGAGAAGAAACAACTTAAAGAGGGAAGATTTATTTTGTCTCATTGATTGATTGACGTGAGGGGAAGGCATGGTAGTGTTTATGAGGCTGAATATGCAGCTGAGACTTCCACCGTCTCATTGTGCTAGGTAGCAGAAACATGGGAGTGCTGACATTCTGTAGGAACAGCCTGCCATTGATGTTCCTGTGTCTGAGCTCAGTTGTGTTTTTGTTGTTGTTTCCTTTTTATGTTTTCTTGGTAGCCACGCCGGGCCTTTTGTAATCTATCAAAAAGTTTAACCATGATCTTACTCAGATGTACAGTCATTTAATTTTGTCACCTGATGGTCATGATCGCTCCTAATCTTGCCACCTGTTTTGGGGTTTTAGCACATGTAGTTGCTGTTTGACTTTAACTCTGATGGATACAAGCAAAATTATAGTTGGATAGCTTGTTAGTGTTTCCTTGTCATTATAGTGAGGGTGATAGTATTGTTAGTTCTCTACACCCTAAACAGAATCAGAAATATTTCTGGAAATAGCTTAAACCCTTAACTTGTGCCCACCGTAGTATAATTTTCTTACTATTGTAGAGTGTGCCAGATGTCTTGAATGGTACTTGTATTAATGCATGGGATAGAATGTAAATGCTTTTGCTTTTCTATTATACTGTGATTCAGTTAGCTCACAGGAGATGAACAGTTCTTATTCACAGATGATACTGTTTATATTGTTTCAACCAGCCCTACAAAATTAAGGAGGCAGATACATATCAGTGCTTGGAAAAGAAACTATTTTGTTTAAGTGAAGTAGTTGCTTTGAATTTAAATAAACTTTAGTAGGATTATTTGAAGTTGATACAAAGGGGAGATTGAGGTGGATGTAGAGGGAGATTGAATGAGGAGGGTAAGAGCCGGTTGATGAGAGTACTTAGTACTCTCATTTCACCCATGGAATGCAGCCAACTGTCAACCCTACAATGTAACCAATTGTCAAGCCATCCTAGTTTTTTGTCTACCATTTAAAGCCTCTGCATAGAATATTTTGAAGTAAATTACAGACTTAATATCTTTTTACATATAAATGAATATAAATGATTGTCAGTTCTTATTATGTACCTCATGCACTTAAATAGATTGACTTTTGGTACTGAAAAACAGCTTTTGCAAAATCTGCACTGTTTATGTTTAAAGGGAGCCATTTAATGTGTGGTCTCCTACTATGGGTGATATAAAACTGTTTAAGGAGCCGGATGGTGGTGGCACATGCCTTTAATCCTAGCACTAGGGAGGCAAAGGCAGGCAGATCGCTGTGAGTTCGAGGCCAGGCTGGTCTACAAGAGCTAGTTCCAGGACAGGCTCCAAATCCACTGAGAAACCCTGTCTCCCCCCAAAACAAACAAGCAAACAAACAAAAAAAAAACAAAACCAAATAAATAAATAAAACTGTCTATGGATACTTGTTTTGGAGGCAAGGACATTTCCCCTGGTATTTGCAGATCTTTCTTCTTGGTAAGTTTCAATACATTTACTATATTGGAGTTTTAGTTTAGCTCATAGTGTAAATTAATTCTCATATTTCTTTGGAATTGCTGTTTATATATTCAAGAGAGAAGGCAAAAATAGCATAGTATTTCTTACATTTTATTTTGATATGTAAAAGAGTTGGAAATTAAAACTCCACATTCTTTTTTTAATGTTTTACTTTGAAATGTTGCTAGATTTACTGTTTTAATTACTGTTGTATTGTTGTGATGAAACACTGAGAGCAAAGCAACCATGACCATTATGGTGGGCATGGGGGTGTGGCAGATGGGCAGGCATGGCACTGGTGTAGTAGCTGAGAGCTCACATCTCATGTGCAAGTTTCAGGCAGAGAGAGAGAGAGAGAGAGAGAGAGAGAGAGAGAGAGAGAGAGAGAGGGATTGGGCCCAACTGGGCCTTTGTGAAAACCCAGCCCCCAGTGACACACCTCCTCCAACAAGGCCACACCTCCTAATCCTTCCCAAACATTTCCACTAACTGGGGACCTTAGCATTCAAATTTATGAGTCAGTGGAGGCCATTCTTTTTCACACCACCACACTTTTTTTTGGAAATTTGAAAAAAGAAGATAGGAATGTGCATTTATATACACCTGTCTTTCTCTGTTGTTAAAACCTCACATAGACATAGAGTAAGTGGATTTTTTTCTTGTTCTTATTTTAATAGCTGCTGAAATAGTCCAAGAAATTGAAAACATGGAGAAGACCAGGATGCGCCTTGAAGCAAGTAAACTCAATGAAAATGTATGTTGAATCTGTTTCAGTGTCTGTGTAGTTGTGCAGGAAGGAATTGTTGAATTGTACTTTTCAAATTAAAAGCCAGCCTTTGTAAATTTTTTTGGTAGAAAATGTACTGGAACACATTGCTATTTAGAGAATTAAGATTTCTTTACAGCTCATGTTTTTAGATAGCATTTGTGTTTAACAAACTTACAACATAAAGTACAGCTGGAGTCACCTAGACAAAGTCCTCATGGCTCAGTTTTTGTCTGCCATGAGGTAAAGATGCTTGCTCCTCCACCACTTACTCCTGCCACTGTGGTGTTCTGCCCAGGTGCCTGGATTCGAGCAGCCATGGGCTGAACACTGAACCAGCATGTGAAGTATTAGCCAGGAAAATGAGTATGTCACTAGGACACATTTGAAAAAAAGAAACAACTAAAGAAAAATAGGAAGCTGGTAGGTGATGAAACACGCCATTAATCCTAGCACACAGGAGGCAAAAGCAGGTGGATCTATGTGAGTTCTAGGACAGTCTGAGGTATTACATAGAGAAACCTGGTTGATAAACAAAACAAAAAAACAAAAAGAAAAATGAGAATATTCTAAGGTTTTTAATCTTTTGATAAACAGCTGTGTATACTCTTCATAACTGTTAAGAATGAGTTCTGGGTTTACTCTGCTTTTTCTGATGACTTTTGTAGCTCTTAGGAGAAACAATAGGACCAGAATTCACATTCAGCAGCTACATATCTTTTATAGTTCTCCTTTCCAAGCTTCTATAAGTCATGGGCCAATTTTTTTTAAAGATTTATTTATTTATTTATTATATATACAATATTTTGCCTGCATGTATCCCTGTGGGCCAGAAGAGGACACCAGATCTCATTACAGATGGTTGTGAGCCACCATGTGGATGCTGGGAATTGAACTCAGGACCTCTGGGAGAGCAGTTAGTACTCTTATCCTCTGAGCCATCTCTCCAGCCCCGGGCCAATTTTTAATAATCTAATTTAAGGAAAATAGGCAACTATATTGCTTTAACACAAGTGCCTACCACCTAGGAAATTTTAATGTAATATTCTTTTTTAAGATTGTATTTTTATTTATGTGTATATATACCGTGTGTGTGTGTGTGTGTGTGTGTGTGTGTGTGTGTATGCCTGTCTTCCTGTGGAGGACAGACTAGAGTGTTGGATCTCCAGGAATTGAAGTTAGAGGCACTTGTGAGTTGACTGTTAAGGGTGCTGAGAACGAAGCTTAGTGTTGACAGAGGTTTCTGTCCTACCTGGTCTTACCATAATTCAGTTCCAAATAAATACACAGAGGTTTATATTAATTATAAACTGTTTGGCCTAGTAGCTCAGGCTTCTTATTAACTCTTATAACTTATATTAGCCCATAATACTTGTCTGTGTTAGTCACGTGGCTTGGTACCTTTTTTGGCGAGGCATTTCCATCTTGCTTACTCTGTGTCTGGCTTCTTTTGTGTCTGGGTGAGGACTGCAGACTGAGTCTTTACTCTTCCCAGAATTTTCCTGTTCTTGTTGCTCTGCCTCTACTTCCTGTCTGGTCACCCTGTGTATACTTCTTGCCTGGCTATTGGCCAATCAGCGTTTTATTAAAAATAATACAGGTGACAGGATAAAAGACCATTGTCCCATAGCAGCTTAGGTTTTCTAAAAGAATGTCAAATGCTTCTGACTTTTAAGCTATCGCTTCAGCACCATCAATGTAATCATTTTTCTCCTTTTTCTCCTCTTCTTCCTCTTTCTTTCTCCTTTCTACTTCATATATATACATATTTTGAGATAAGGTCTCACTTTGTAGCTGGCCTGAAACTCACTGTATAGAACAGGCTGACCTCAAAACTCACAGAGACCTATCTATCTGCCTCTGATTCCCAAGTACTAGGATCAAAGGTATGCGCAACAGCACTCTCAGCTAATGTAATACTCTTTTTTAAAGTTTTTATTTTAAAAATGTTTTCTCATAGAATATATTGATCACATACTTTTTCTTACCCCAGCTCCTCCTTACTTTTTAACCCACTCAACTTCATGTTCTTTGCCTTCCTTTAATAACAACAAAAAATCCAAGAAGCACAACAAAAATCAGAAAAAACTAAAAGAAATAGAATAAAGTAAAAATTCGCAAAATAAAGTGCACCAAAAAAACCCCCAAAAAACATAGAGTCCATTTTGTGTTGGCCAACTACTGGGCATGAGACCTGCCCTGGAATGTGGTTGATATACCCAGCGACACTCCATTAAAGAAACCTGATATTCCCTTTGCCAGCAGGTTTCAATTACAAATAGCTTCTTGGTTAGGTGTAGGCCTTTGTGTTCACTTCCCCTTCTCAGTGCTGGGAATTTTGTCTGGTTTGAACTTGTGCAGGTCTTGTACCTGCTGTCCCAGTCTCTGAATTCATATGTGCATCTGTCCTGTTGTGTCTGGAAGACACTGTTTCCTTGGAGTCATCTATTGCCTCTGGCTCTGAAAATCTTTCCACTTCTCCCATGTAGATCCTTGAACTTTGAGGGGAGGAGTTTGATAAAAATGTCCCATTTAGGGCTGAGTGTTCCACAGTCTCTCATTCTCTGAACACTGTCCAGTTGTGAATCTCTTTGTTAATTACCGTCTACTACAAGAAACTTTTCTGATGAAAATTGAATAATGCTCTAATATATGGGTATAGCAGTATGTCAGTAGGAATCATTTTACTGCTTTGTTCCGTTAACAGAATAATAGTAGGTTTTCCTTTATGCCCATGGCTAGTTTTTTGACCTGATACAGGTATGGATTCCAGCTCATGGAATGGGCCTTAAATCCAATAAAATAAGAATAGTTGGTTATTCCTGTAACATTGTGCCAGAATATCTTGAAGGCAGGTGTCTGTTGTAGCTGAGTGATACTAATAATTACTTTTCTCCTCTGGTAGTATGCAAGAATATTTTCCAGTACCATGAACACTAGTCAGTAGGGGTAAATGTTGTGTGGGGTGGCGGGCTGCGTTCCTGCCCAGCTCCACACGGCTAGCTTTACCCGAAATAATTACACAGAAACTGTATTCTTTTAAACACCGCCTGGCCCATTAGTTCCAGCCTCTTATTGGCTAACTCTCACATCTCAATTAACCCATTTCTAATAATCTGTGTAACACCACGAGGTGGCTTACCAGGAAAGAGCTTATCGTGCTTCTGTCTCGGAGAGGAGAATCATGGTGAACTTCCTGACTCGGCTTCTTTCTCCCAGTATTCTGTTCTGTCTACTCCGGCTACCTAATTTTCTGTCCTATTAAAGGGCCAAGGCAGTCTCTTTATTAACCAATGAAATCAACACAAAACAGAAGACTCTCCCACATCAGGTAAAGCTTCTAGTTGGGTACCAGCTCAGTTTCCCCATGTTTGATGACATCAATAATAGGGCCTTACTATCAGGTTATAGAGAATAACCAATAACCTTGATAATAGCTTGTATTTGGAGGTGTCTATGGGATATTTTTTGGCCACGATTCAACAAGATATAACCTATTTTTGTCACTGGAGGTTTTACTTGGTGACATAAGATGTCTAATTGGTGCATTGACTCCATTTAAATTTCTTTCATATATGTATATATTTTAGGAAGCTTCTATAGTAGTAGATTTCCATATGGCTTTTCAGAGAGCCTTTAGTGTTAGGTATCTGTAGTCGCATTTCAATTGTATTTTAATAACTAAAGCTTGCCTGAAGATCTAAGAGAAAACAGCACCACTGGCAAGCCTTATAGACTAGGCAGTATCAACACACACCTTTAATCCCAGTAGACACACTAGTTTGCCATAGAAACCAGGTGGTAGTGGTACATGCCTTTAATCCCAGAACTAGAGAGGATAATAAGATGGGAAGAGACAGCTCACAGACACAGTCTCATTCTGAGATTCCTGGAGGCAGGATTGCCATTTTCAGACTTGAGGTTGAGGTAAGAGCCAATGGCTGGCTGCTTTGCTTTTTGGATCTTCAGGTTGAAACCTATATCAGTTTCTGAGCTTTTATTAATCATACTTGAGGTGTCCCTCTTTTATTCTGCCCTTCCATTCCCCTTCCTATTTCCTAATTTCTCCTTTATCCCTTTATAATACTGTATTCTATTTCCTTTTCCTTGGAACATTATACCCCTACCTGATCCCTTATTAGCTAACCTCTGAGATTATTCAAGTTGACATACACATGTCTTAAACTGACATCCATATACAAAAGGAAACATGAAATATTTTTTTTTTTTTAGATCTAGGTTACCTCGCTCAGGATGATTGATTCTAGCTCCATCTATTTACCTGCAAATTTCATTATTTTAGTTATCTTAGTAGATGAATAATCCCATTTCTCAATTGATGGAGATCTATGCTATCTGCAATTTATGGCTATTATGACTAGAGTCCCAATTAACATGGATGAGCAAGTACTCTGTAGTAGAAAGTTGAGTTTTTTGGATATATACCCAAGATGGGTACAGCTGAATCTGGTAAATTGATTTTCAGCTTTTTGAGGATCTTCCACACTGATTTCCATAGTGACTGTACCAGTTTGCACTCCTACCAGCAGTGAATAAGTGTTCCCTTTCCCTGCATCTTCACTAGCAAGTATTATTATTTGTTTTTACTGTTTTGGGTCATTCTGACTGGGGTGAGACAGTGTCAAAATAGTTTTAATTTCCTTGATGGCTAAGGATGAACATTTTAAAAGTGTTTCTCAGCCATTTGTGTTTCATCTTTTGAAAACTAATTCTGCACCAGATTTTTAAACTGGGTTAACCCATTTGTTTTATGTGCAGAATTTTTTTTAGTTCTTTATGTATATATTCTAGATAACTAACCCTTTATCAGATTTCCTATTCTGTATGCTGACACTTGGCTCAAATGATGGTGTCTTTTGCTATACAGAAGCTTTTAGCTTTCTGAGGTTCCACTTATTACTGCCTGTTGTTGATGTCCTGTTTAGAAATTCTCTTCTTGTGCCAGTGAATTCAAGCCTATTTACTACGTTGTCTTCTTTAAGATACAGTGTATCTAGTCTCATATTGAGGTCCTTGATCCATTTTGAGTTGAATTTTGTACAGAGTGATGACTATGGATCTATTTTTTTAAAATATTTATTTATTCATTATGTGTACAATATTCTGTCTGTGTGTATGCCTGCAAGCCAGAAGAGGGCACCAGACCCCATTACAGATGGTTGTGAGCCACCATGTGGTTGCTGGGAATTGAACTCAGGACCTTTGGAAGAGCAGGGAATGCTCTTAACCTCTGAGCCATCTTTCCAGCCCCCCTATGGATCTATTTTTATTCTTCTACATGCAGCTGTCCAGTTTGACCAGCACTGTTTGTTGGAGATACTGTCTTTCCTTCAATGTGTATTTTTAGTTTCTTTGTCAAAAATTAGGTGTCTGTAGGTGTGTGGAATTATGTCTGGGTCTTCAGGTCTATTCTGTTGATCAGTATGCCTTCTTATGTCAATACCATGTTTTTTAAATGATTGTAGCTCTATAATAATACAATTTGAAACCTGAGGTGGTGATACCTCCAGCAGTTCTTTTATAACTCAGAATTGTTTTAGCTATCCTGGGTTTTATGTATCTAATGTAATATTCTTAATACAGAACCACACTTTAATTGATGAACTATACTTCAAGAATTAGAAAGGAGATTCATGCAAGTTTTCAAAGCAGAAAGAGGAAATGACATGTACAACTAAAAAATCAGACTTGCTTAAAATTTGACTTTGTTTTCTTAATATATCTTAATTTTTAACTAGTGTTTTTAGTAACAACAAAACAGTGGATTTCTTTATGGTGTTTTATACATTCATATCATTGTACTTTGTTCATATTCTCCCCTTCCTTTGTTCTGGCTCTCTTTCTCTACCAAATATTTATCCACAATATTTCATTTGAGAAACCTTATATATGCAGAAAGGTGGAAGGAAGGGTACTATTCTTTACTATCAAAGATTTATTACCTGACATGATTTTCCTCCATTTCTCTTCTAGATACAGGCTTATGTGTTTTGATTTGGGGTATTTTTTCCTCAACTATTTGGAGTTGGATATAGATACTTTACACATTTTATTGGGATATTTTTATTTATGGGAAGAACCAAAACTTAAAATTTCTCTACAAATGAATCCCACCTTGTCCTAAAATCCACAGCTACTGCCAAACTACTCATTTATAACATGAACATTTGTCAAATAAATAAACATCTGAAGCTGTAGATGGCTTGGCAGGAAAGATCACTTGCTGTATAAGCCTGAGAACTTGAGTTCAAATCTCCAGCACTCATGTAAAAAGTCAAGCATGGCTGCATGTTCTCTAACTCCATTGCTGTGGGGAGTGGGGACAGGAGACTGCTAGGACTACTCACCAGCTTTGCTCCAGGTTCAGTGAGAAGCCCTGTCCCTGTCTCAAGAAAATAAGGCAGAGGGTCTTCATATGTGCATGAGCATGCTCATCCATCCACACCTGCACATACACACATGCACACACACCAGGGCATATACAACCTCTCAGATTTCACTATAATATTGTTTAAAAAACGTATTTAATCATGGTGAGATTTCCGTCTTGGATGTTACTTGGTTTGAGGAAAAAGTTCCTTTTTTTGTTAACAAAAATAAAAACCTGCTGATGAGGGAGAAGTGATGAGTAAGACTGTGTTGTTCATGATAGTTGGAGGAAATGTGCAGGCTACTCAGAAGCGGATTGGCTTCCTCTGTTTTAAGCACCGCATTTGAAGTTTTGAAACTTGTGCATTGATTTCCATTTTTGTCATTTTGATGTAATTCTGAAGATTTTTTTAAATTATTATTTTAGGTCATGGTTTTTACAAAGGACCAGACAGAGAAGGAGATAGATGAAATTCACAGTAAATATCGTAAGTTGTGCAACATGTTCTTATTGTAAAGAGTTTAAGTTACTGTTTAACATCTTAGGTAATTAAAAAATGTTTGATATTAATGTTCGGTATATTCTTGTTAGTGTTGCTTCAGAGACTGGGATTTAGTGGGTGTCTACTCAGATAGCCTTTTGTATGTGGCACCTGTCTTAAGATCTGTGACCAACATTCTGTTTTGAGTTCATTGTCACCAAGCACTTGGCAAACATGAGTTATTTCTCAGAAACCATTCTGTGAGAAGATGGGGCAGACATAGAAGCACTCAGGACTGTATCGAGTCTCAGGCCTGCAGTATCAGTTCTACTGTAAGGAGGTACAGCATTTCTGTGGCTTGGAGGTTTGTGTCAGAAATAGGTTTCCTTCTCTTGTTAGTTTCTCTCACACTTTATCATTTCCTTTTCTGTAAGTGGTCTGCTTGTGTATCCTTGACAGGCCACACCTTACTGTTTTTGTTAACTGGGTAGTTGTTATGTCTTAGTTACTTAGTTGATTGGTATTTATTTATTTTGAGACAGGATTGTTCTGTGTAGCCCTGTCTATTCTGGAGCTTTCTATGTAAATTTGGCTGGCTGGCTTTGAATCTACAGAGATCTGACTTCCTCTATTTTTTAATTTTAATTTTGTTTTATTTTTGCAGCACTGAGGATTGAAATTCAAGGCCTTGCATGCAGTAGACTAGTATTCCTGGAAGGGTTACATCTCCAGCCTCAAACTGAATGAGGACTGAAATTCCTTATTCCTCTTGGTTCTGACGGTCTCTCCTTCTCATTGTCTCCACACTTCCCCTCTCTCTCCTCCCTCTTCTTCTCAGTCTCCTTCTCTCTTTCTCTGCCTTTCTTTATTGAGTCAGGTCTTGCTCAGTAGCCCAAACTGTCCTCCGCCTTCCAAGTGCTGTGTATGAAGTGTGTGCCTCTACGCTAGTTGAGGGCCAGCAAACAGCACATAATGAATGTTGGTTAGTTCCATTGTGCTCAGGCAAAGTTTTCTTTCTTCCTTCCAATCTTACTTTGAAGGGCAGATTCAGCAGCAGGGAAGGAGACTGAAACACCCACATAGGCCTAGTTTGCTTTCTATGCTATGATAAACACCATGACCAAAAGCAACTCAAGGAGGAAAGTATACTATCATGGAGGGAAGTCAGTGCAGGAACCTGGAGGCAGGAACTGATGCAGACTCCATGAAGGAATACTGCTGACTAGCTTGCTCAGCCTATTTTATTACATAACCCAGAACCTGCCCATGGGTGGCACTGCCTGCAGTAGACTGGGTCCTCCCATATCATTAATCAAGAAAATGCTCCACAGGCCTTCCTACAAACTAATGGGGCATTGTCTCAACTGAGGTTTCATCTTTCCAAAGGACCCTAGCTTGTGTCAAGCTGACAAAAAACTACCCCTCCCTCCAGTAGCTGTAGTTGGCTACTGTATGTGCCAGGTCGAGTACATGTGTAATGTATTTGATCAGATTAACCTACTCATTTTCTTCTTAGCTGTTGCGTGTGACTCAATGAGTTTAATTAGGATTGTTCACAGCAGTGTGGGTGAGGGGTTATTTACAGGAGCTCTGACACTTTTACCTTATCCTTTGTTTATATAACTGATGAAAAGCATAATTTCAAATAGATCTTCAGTGGTAGGGGAGAATATTGACAGGGACACTGTTGTGCCCATAATTGTAGCTGCTGTAAGTTCAAGAGGGCAGCCCTATGTAAGGCTGAGAAGACAGCTTTCCAGTGGTCCAGATGTCCCTTTACAGCTGCTCGTTAAACAGTCACTCTCAATACTTTGAACCAGTTTTGATTCTGCCATCCACTGCTGAGAGTAGCTTCTCTCTCCAAACTGACAAACATGAACATAAATAGTTAGAAAGCATTTTAATGGTCATACCATGTTCATTTGGCAAAACAGCAATAATAGTTTCCTTACCACAGTCTGTGTACTCTCCAGCCACCAGCTTACAGTAATGAACATGGATTTCCTCAAATCTAGTCTACTTGAGAGGTAGACTAAATGTAGCAAAAAATATAAAATTTTGTCTGTCCCCAAAATGTAAAAATAAGTATACAGTTCTAGTTCTACTTTTAGACAGATGGCATAACGGATTTGATTGACTTTCCTCCTCCAAAAAAAAAATTGATCTGATGAAATATATGTTAAGGTTTGTCTTAGATGTTGGCAAACAGGTAGCACAGGACTGAGAGGGAAACAAGATAGAAAGCACCACAGTCTGATAGCAGTTTTCAGATACTATGATGTGGAACCTGTTGCTACCACTGAGCTAAGACAGATATCATAGTTCTTGGAAGCCAAGGTAGCCAGAATTTGTGGTACAGTGCCAGTGAGAAGGCAACTGTGGAGAGAAGACAGCTCCAAAGATCTGTGAAAGAAGCTGGTTACTCCTGGCTGTGTGAAAGAACAAGGCACAACAGTTTCTGGGGTCCACACAGGAAGACGAGTGACTTGCATCACTATCAGACCAGGCAGGAAAGCTTCATGAAATATGGAACCTAAAGAATTCTCAGATATTGTCTCAATAGCAAAGTCAGATCACCTGCCTGTGTTAAGGCTTCTGTTGCTGTGCTAAATACCATGAACAAAAGCAACCCAGGGAGAAAGAGTCTATTATCATCTTACTACTTGCAGTCTATGGTCTAGGAAAGTCAGGGCAGGAATTCCAGGCAGGAGTTGATGCAGAGGCCACTGAAGAGTGTTACTCACTTTCTCCTCATGTTTTGCTCAGTCTGCCTTTTAAAAGCAACCCAGGACCACCAGCCCAGCAGTGGCACCACCCTCAGTGAGCTGGGCCCTTCCACATTAGTCATCAATCAAGAAAATGTCCCTCAAACAAGCCCACAGGCCAGTCTGGTGGGAACATTTTTTCAATTGAGATTCCCTCTTCCCAAATGACTCTAGTTTGTGTCTAATGGACATAAAACTAGGAGCACATCAATCACCCCCGAGCCAGGGAATAAGCAATTTAGACTCTTCATGCTGTGTATGCTTTTCCATATCTTGTTTACTTTTTATATTATTTTAATTGTGTTATTTTAAGTGTATGGCTATTTTGCCCACATGCATATTCGTGCATCATGTGCAACCTGCAGAGGCCAGAAGAGGGGACTGATCTCCTGGAACAGGAGTTACAGACAGTTCTGAGTCATCAGAGGAGGTAGGAATTAGGAAACTGTCACGCTCACAGTGTCACATGTAACTTTCCTAACATTCTAATATTTACTGAAAAGTCTTAATTTTCTCTTTGGCAGAAAATACTTTTGTTTGTTTTCCTTTACATTCCTGTCCTGTCATTCACTTTTGAGTCTATGTGTACCAGAACTCAAATCTAATGACCACACTTTGTTGTACTTTCACTTAAAAATGATATCCTAAGCCAGGTATGGTAGCAGTCAGGAAGCTGAGGCATGAGATTATATGTTTGAGGCTTCCTGATATACATTCCAGTACCTGCTTCCGAAAGAAAAAAAAAAAGGTAATTGTGCTGGCCTATAGTTTATGATCCTAGAGAAGCTAGGTGAATTCTAAGAAAAAACATACATAGATCCATCTGGAAAGGGGAAATAGACAATATTTCCTGACAAAATTGGGGACATGGGGGTGGAGGGAGAAGTGAGGGTGGAAGGGGAAGATGGTGGGGGGAGAAGTGGAGGGAGTTGAGATGGAGAAAGGACAGAGATGAGAGCAAGGAAAGAGATATTTTGGTTGAGGGAGCCATTATGGGGCTAGCAAGAAACCTGGCACTAGAGAAATTACCAGGAATCTAGAAGGATGACCCCAGCTAAGAACCTAAGCAATAGAGGAGAGGGGGCCCGAACTGGCTTTGCCCTGTAGTCAGACTGATGAATAGCTTAAATATCACCATAGAACTTTCATTCAGATGGAAACAGAGACCTGCATCGGACCACTGAACTGACCTCCCAAAGTCCAGTTGAAGAGTGGGAGAAGTGAGAATATGAGCAAAGAGGTCAAGACGGTGATGGGGATACCCACTGGAACAGTTTGCCTGAGCTAATGGGAGCCAGACAGGGAAGGAAGCAGCATAGGACCAAACTAGACCCTCTGAATGTGGATGACAACTGTATGGCTGGGGCAGACTGCAGGGCCACTGGAAGTGACACCAGGATTTATCTCTACTGCTTGTACTGGCTGAAGTGAAGAGTTTTGGATAATTTCGTTGACAGAGAAAATCTTAAAACAGCCTAATATAGACTCTGTTGTATGGTTATTAGTGGTAACTCTAAAGTTCTATAGTAAAAAGGAACAAACTGAGAAGGGTAAATTACAAAATGTTAAATTTGAGGAGAAAAAGGAGTATCAGGAAATGGAGTAGAGATAATTCCTGTGTTCAAGGAGATAAACAGATTAAGAATTGGAATAAAGGGAGTGGTGACCTTAGGAAGAGATCCCACTCAGCTAAATTTCCAATCTGTGAAAAGGAATTAAGGAAAAGCTTGAAGCCTTTAATCCCAACACTCCAGAGGCAGAGACTGGTAATCTCCGAGTTTGAAGCCAGCCTGGTCTACAGAGCAAGTTCCAGAAGAGCTGAGATTAGGCAGTGAAGGTAACCATCAAAAGCAGAAAGCTGGTAAATTTGTAATTGAATGAGGGGGCCATGTTCCAGCCTTAGCAAGCAGCAGAACTTGTCACCTTCAGCTATGTGATTCTGACTTTAAAGTCAAGGAGTCCTAAGGAAAGTCACTGAGGCCAGGCATATGTCAGGGGTGACTCTGAAAGGAGGTGCAGCTAGGCCATTGTGTGAAGCTTTCAGGTCCTCCTCCTCCTCCTCCTCCTCCTCCTCCTCCTCCTCCTCCTCCTCCTCATTCCTTTCTTCTTCCCCTTCCCGATTAGAATTTGCACTATAATGCCCCCCAAAGTGAGTGACACTATTAGCAGGTATGTCTTTGTTGGAGTAGTGGTGTAGGAGGTCCTTCTGTATTTGTATTGCTTTCATTGGTTGAATAAAGAAACTGTCTTGGCCTTTTGATAGGGCAGACTCAGGTAGGCGGGGAAGACAGAACAGAATTTTGGGAGGAAGAAAGCAGAGACAGACAGACACCATGAATCTCCTACCTGAGACGGATGTAGGTTAGACTCTTGCCAGTAAGCCACAATCATGTGGTGATACACAGATTTAATAGAAATGGGTTAATCAAGATGTGAGAGTTAGCCAATAAGAGGCTAGAGCTAATGGCCAGGCAGTAATTTAATTAATACAATTTCCACGTGATTATTTTGGGGGCTAAGCTAGCCAGGTAGCGGGACGCAGCCTGCTCCTCCTACTACAGAGTAGGTATTGCCTTGTTGGAGGAAATGTGTCACTGTGGATGTGGACTTTGAGGTCTCATATATGCTTAAGTCACTCCCAGTGTCTTATACCACTTCCTGTTGCCTGTGCAAGATGTTGAACTCTCAGGAACCTCTCCAGCACCATGTCTACCTGCTCACCACTATGTTCCACCATGATGATAATGGACTCAACTGTAAGCCACCCAATTAAATGTTTTTCTTTATAAGAGTTGTCGTGGATATTGTGTCTCTTCACAGCAATAGAAACCCTAACTAAGACAAATGGTTTTAAAAAGATTCTATATATGAAGTTTCTGTGATGAAGTCTAGAGTATAAGCTAGAGGTTGGCCTTTAGTTCTAACACAAGCAGTTTCATGATAATGACTGGAAGATAAGCATGTGTACACAGACAAGGAGTTGTGGTGCTTGGAAGAAGATAATTTCTCTTCAAATAAATTCATACATTTTTTTGTCTACAAAGAGGGTCCATAAAGAGGCCATGATGGGGTTTGAATGAAGAGTAGAAAGTGAGCTACAGCCATTTTGAGTTGGTAGACATGAACTTATTCATCAGCTCCCATAACTAGTCAAACCACTTAATTTTTTTAAGGGTCAGTTATTTTATGTGTCTGCATGTTTTGCCTGCATGTATGTCTGCACCTCATATATCTCTGGTACCCACATAGGTCAGAAGAAAGGGTTGGGCCTCCTGGAACTGGAGTTATGGATGGTTGTGAGCTACTGGGTTCTGGTAGCTACACCTGGATCCACTAGAAGAGTATCCAGTGCTGATAACTGCTGAGCCACATCTGCAGCCCCCAGAACCACTTAAATTCTTCAGAGGAAAATTCAGGACATATATAACTCAAACTCATATTTTCGATTCGAGAGTTCTCCTTGCCAAATAGCAGATCTCCTAAGATAAGTGAAAGGATGAGTGGGAACAGTTTTATTAGTCACAATCTGTTGGCATCATTTATTTTCTTTTTTCCAAGGCAGCTGTCTTGGACTTCTTGAATCAGAACCAGAGTGGTGGCAGCTATTTAGTTTTTGTTTCCAACCTAGCTGTGGAGTAACTAGATTTAAGCAAGAAAAGACTCTATAAATCTGAGCCTTAGTACTTTAGGAGTAAAGCCGTTTAACCTTTTGATTACTTCAGGGGTTTTTGAGCAAACCTCAGGTAACAATCTTAGGTTTCCTGATGGCTTAGAAAAAACAAAAGAAAAATCTAGGAAAATGGCTGTGGTGGTTTCTGTTGTCATCTTGATAAAACTGGAGTCACTTGGGAGACGGGCCTCTGGGAATGCCTGTGGGGATATGTTGGTTGTGTTGAGATGGGAAGACCTGCCAACTATGAGTGGTACCTGGTTGGAATACTAGATTTAAATTTTTAAAATGATTTAAATTTTTAAAGTGCAGCCTGTTTTTCTAACTCTGAGCCATCTCTTCAACACTATGGATCCTAGATTTCATAAATGTCTCAAAGGGACTGAGCACTATTCATTTGTTTGTTTCCCCGTTGTGAATGAGAAGGGACCAGTTGGTTCAAGCTCCTGGCACCTGGGCTGTCCTGAACAAGCTCTTTCTCCCTAAGTTGCTTTTGTCAGTATTTATCACAGCCACAGGAAAAGAAACCAAGAGAACAAACTACACTTGATTAACTAAACTACCCTTGCCTAATAGCAGCTCCAGAATGATGAGGTAGTATTGCCTGTGCATTCTGGGAGCTGAGGAAGTAGATGAGGTGATTCTCTTTACATGCATGGAATAAAATAGTGCGTGAAAGAAATTATCTGTTGTGTATTCTTTGTGTAGACTCTCTTAACCTGCTTCTAAAGAGGTGGCTTTCTCTAATAACCTTTTGTTAAGCTTCTTAATTTCTTTTTTGTAGGCCTGACTGGCCTGGCACTTTGTAGACCAGGCTGGCCTCAAACTCAGAAATCCACCTGCCTCTGTCTCCCTAGTGTTATGATTAAAGGCATACTTTACTATGTTAATGTTTAATTTTTTCATTTGAAAAATCACTTTTCATAGAATTTTATCTATTTCTAAAGAACTATTTTTTTCTAGTAATTTTTATGCTCATCTTGTAATTTCTTTTGCTGAAAGTTTAGTCTTTTATAACTTACCCGATATTTTACAGCCTTCTGATTAGTTTCACTGGGAGTTTGTATACACACATATATATTAGAATCAGAAGCAATCTCCTCAATGACTTGCTCTCTCTGTTCAAATGCAGGAATCCATCTTCTTTTTTACTTGACGTGCTTCATAACTCTGTGCTGTTTACCATGCTGAAGGATAGCTTTTCAGAAACAGATGAAGTTGTTTATCTCATTAGATTGTTTTTAGAGACCTAAAAACTAGTTATTAAGGGCTGAAGAGATGACTTGAAATTAAGAGCAGTTGCTGGTCTTGAAGAGGACCTAGATTGGGTTTCCAGTACCCATATGGCAATTCAAACCATCTATAACTCTAGTTCTAGTGGATCTTATGCCCTCTCTGACCTCCGTGAGTACACACGTGGTGAACATACAGACTTCCAGGTAAACACTTAATACTTAAAGATGAATAAATATTTAAAATATTAAAAAATAAAATAGAATTTAAAAAACTGATTGCGGATTAGGAAGATGGTTTTGAGATATACAAAAGAGAATTATTAGAGCAGTCAGATTTGAGTTAGAATCTGATAATGAATGTACACATGGAAGCAAACCTGGCTTCTTCCATAGTGAGGTAGGGATGTCGGTCCAGCCAATTCTGTGGCTGAAGAAATTTTATATGCCTACAGAAAATTATTTTCTATGACTACAGAAAATGGTTACCTGTAGCTTGCAGTTTGACCATTAATTGAATGGTTCGGATCCCAGAAAAGTAGCTCTGAACATGTCTATATAGACCTTCATTCCAGTGCACTCCCTGCTGCTCTGTATTGTGCTAAATGTAGGAGAAACCAAGTATTAAAAAGTATGTATTATTGGCTGTGTGTGGAAAATTCTCAAAATTTTGTCTTTACCATTATAGTATTAGTTTTCTAAAATTTGAGGGCATTTACAGACAATATTATTTTGAACCATGGTTACCAGTAAGTACGGTACAACTACAGCTGCTGGAACTATGGCTCAGACCCACAAGTAAGTGTCCTAATTTTTGTGCTCTAACACCAAGGGTTCTCTAGGAGTGTGTTGTTAATTTCCATGAGGACCTTGATGTCGGGTTATGTTTTGAAGTGATAGTAAAGATGGTCTTATGTATCTTAAAGAATGTAAAATGTTAAAAGGATTCTGCTGGGAAACAAATGTTAGGAAAACATTCTTTATTGTAAGACTACTCTAGAGCCCTTTCCTCTGTGCAGTTAATGTGATCCACTTCTTCTTAGTAGTCTTGTGTATCTTGAACATTAGAAAGCCATCTTTTGGAAGTTATTTTGGAAGTGTCAATCACTGGGTGTGGTGCCACATGCCTGAAACACTAGCATTTGGGAAATTGAGGAAGGAGGATTATGAGTTTGAGGTCTGTCTAGTCTATAAATTGAGTCCCTGCCTCACTGAAACAAAATGAGAAAGTAAGGTGGGAGGGAGGGAGGAAAGGTTATCAGTCTGTATTTTGTACTCTGTGGGAAGCCTCTACATACTAAGGGCTTAGGGAGGAAGAAAAAAAAAAAAACGTAGAGTAGCAAATTATATCCTGTACCCTGTTTGCTTTGGGGAAGAGAAAGACACAGAGAGATTTGTCAGCTGCCCCTAAGCCCTCTGGTCTTCTTCATGGTAGCTTTTGCATTCAGTGCAGGTGATTCTGCTAATGATGATACTGAGCAGCGTTGTGCCTGATTCTCAGTGTGTCACGTGTAGATGGTTCACCCATTCACAGTCCTTTTGAATTTAGGTAAAAGGCATAAGAGTGAGTTCCAGCTTCTAGTGAATCAGGCCAAAAAAGGATACAAGAAAGCTGGCAGAATGTCAAAAGCTACAGTAATGAGAAGAGATGGACCTGCAGAGAAACTGCCATCTGCCATCATGGGTAAGACTTACTGAAACAAAAGCCTAATGAATTTCATTACTTTTTTAAAACATTTATTTATTCTTTCTGTGTATGTATGTGCATGTGTGCATGTGTATGCATTTGTGCACTGTGAAAATATCACAGGACAACTTGTGGGAGTTGGTTTTGTCCATGTGGGTTTCAGTGATCAAACTCAGGTTGTCAGGCTGACTTGCAAGTGCTTTACCCACTGAGCCATCTTGTTGGTCCTCTCTTTTTTAAAGTAAAAAGACTATAAAACCAATGTGACTTACTAAGGTTACTCAGCATTTGAAATGGGGAGAAGTACTTTTTAGAAAGCTTAATGTAGCAGTTGTTGACTATAAGGTAGCATATTGCTTGCTTTGGAAACAATGGAAGACTGTCCCATAGAGACAGCCCCTGAAGTCTCCCTGTTTGTAGTTATGAAGCATCCCAAGCTCTGTGTTTGTCTAAGTATGAGGATATTTTCTAGGTGTGAGATTTATTACTGGAGATCCTAAGACAAAGATAATTATTTCTGTTGTGGAACTCTGATGTTTACTTTGCTGAAATGTTGCGATGGAGAGTTTAAAGCTAATGCAGCTGGTGTTCCAACACATTCAGTGCATTACTTAGTTTTGATCCAGCTTTAGATTTGAGATTAATGTATTTCTGTTGCCGAAGCTTTAGGCCATGAGCAAAACAGAATCATAATGGGAAAAGGGGCACAAAAATTTCTTTACTACTTTTCTTAATTGTGACAGAATACACACAACATGTATACATTTTTTGTTTTTTGTTTTTGTCAAGACAGTTTCTCAGTAGCTATGGAGCTAGTCCTGGAACTCGATCTATAAACCAGGCTGGCATCGAACTCACAGAGATCTGCCTGCCTCTGCCTCGTGAGTGTTGGGATTAAAGGTGTGAGCTACCACCACCCGGCATATTTTTAGTAATTCGTAGGTGCACAACTCATGGCTGTTTAATGGTTTCATAGTACTGTTTAACCATCTATACCCCAAACCCTTTTAGCATCCCTCGTACAAACTCTGTGGTGTATCACATCACTCCCTGCTCTCCCACATAGTCCTGATCATCTCTGTTGTGTCTGCTTATGGATTTGTTTGCTTTGGGTATCTAATGCAAGTAGAATTATACAGTATCTGTCTTGTTATGTTGGCTTATTTTTCTAAGCATCATGTTTTTATTGCCTGTCAATATTGTTTCAAATATTAAAATTTCTTTATTCTTTAGTATGCATATGCAGCATTTTGTCTATTAATTTGTTATTTTTGCCTTCTTAACTATTATGATGTTTTTGTAAAGTTTTCTTTAGTTCTCAGATGTCTGTTGAAGACCCTGCTTTCAGTTCTTTTATTACATGTCTGTTCTAGTTTCATTTCTGTTGCTGTGACCAAAAGAAACTTTGGGGAGGAAAGAGTTTATTTAGCTTAGAACCCCAGGTCACAGTCTATTATTAAGGGATTCAGGGCCAGGAACTTGAAGGCAGGTCTGCTTGCTGTTCCAAACATGACTTTCAGCCAAGAGATTTGCTCCACAGTCAAAGAAGTACATCAGAAACCATGGAAAAGTACTGTTTGCTACCTGTCTCTCAGACTGGTTTATACTCAGCTAGCTTTCTTACATAGTTCAGGCCTACCTACCTAGGTTTAACTAGGTCCTTTTACATCAATTAACAATCAAGACAGTCCTCCCACAGACATGCTCACAGACCAACTAATGTACGGAATTTCTCAACTGAGGCTTTCTTTCATATGGTTCTAGACTGTGTCAAATTGATAGTTAAGCTAACCAGACAATGTCCAAGGTCTAAGTGGAATTTCTGGTTCATATGGTAGTGCTGTGGTTAACCTTCTGCAGAACCAACAAGTTGTGCTGCATAATGGCCGCATCATTTTACGTTCTCACTGGCAGTGCATTCAAGTTCTCATTTCTCCACATCTTGTCAGTACTGGATAGTTTTCTTGGTTGAGGAAACCATCTTCTAAGTGTGTGTTTCCTTTTGTGGAGACCATCTGTATTAGGTTCTTTAGAGAAACAGAACTGATAGAACGCACACACGCACGGTGGGGGCATTCCTTAAGAATGGCTTACAGCCTGTGGTTTGGCTAAATTGAAAATGGCTGTCTCCTGATGTAAAGGCCAAAAATTCAGTAGTTGTTTAGTCCAACCAGTTCTGCTAGTCTTCAGCCTGTGTTGGAATCCTGCCAAGAAGTAGGTCCTAATGCCAGTTAAGGAATACTTCAGCAACAGAGTAGATGAACTTGTGGAGAGAGTGAGGACAATCAGACCAAAAGCAAAAGCTTTGTATTTCTCTTGTCTTTTTATAATATAGCCAGTTACCAGAAGGTGTAGCCTTCTGATTTAGGGTGTATTTTTTATAAGAGGAAGTTCTTGGCCTTCTGGAAAGTCACTGATTAAGGCCCTTCCTCTCTCCCTGATGAATAGTGGCAGTAGTTTATTGGTATTGTAGCATTAGGAACTTACATTGATGATTAATGTTGTCCTTCTGTATAACAAACATTGAGGGTTATTTCTGAAAATCTTGAGTATATAAACTTGGAAAGGGTTTTGTTTTTAAAGAATTTGTCCTATTCAATAATTTTTTTTTGCTAACAAAACCTTAACAACTGCTTTTATTCATTTATTTTCTTATTCATTTTCTGAATTGTCAGGATAGCACAGATGAAAATCCCCATAATGTTGGCACACACTGTAAAAGGGAGAGAGTCCTAGGCAACAGACAGTTTGGCACAGCTAGTATTTTTTGTTCTTTTATTTTTAAATATTTGCCTATGCTGTGTGTCATAGTCCTTCAAACTACCATGAGGTGTCCCTGTATCTTTATCTTTATAAAAAGAAACTTTGAAAATAGAATATGACAAAGGATGTACAAAAATGTGATGTGTCAGATCAAATGGCAGGATTCTTATGTCTGATTGGTTTTCCCTTTCTTTATAGTGAATAGTTTATTTAATGGGTTTTGAAAAGTGTCCAGATGTTTGATATGTCATGTGACAAATAGTATGATTCCCTTATGTCTGTTTTGTTAATTTGTCACTGTTCTTTGATTTTGAAATAGCAATTATTCCTTAGTAATCTGCTAATAGGATCTTCATTAGAATGTTAAGGCATTCCTATCTCTGGTTTTAAAGGAAACTTTACGTTTAAGTAAATCAGTCCTGGAAAACACAAATAAGATAGTAGCAATAACGTATCATTTATTTTATAGTTTTAGAATCAGTGTTCTTTTACTTCTATTTTTAAAGAAGAAATAACAATATTAAGTGTTAAAGAAATAGAAGGTATGCATTTTAACATTCTTTAATTTTTTTTTAAAAAAATCTTATATTTCTTGTTAGGACAAGAAGATAATATAAACTTTTCGGATACAGTCTCAGTAACAAACCACTTTCCTCAGTCGAAACTGGACTCCCCAGTGCAGCCGGAGCCTGAGAGACCAGATGATTCTTCCAGTTGTACTGATATTCTTCTCTCCTCAGAGTCAGATTCCTGCAATAGGTAAGAAATGTGTAGAAACTGGCTCTTTTATACTTCTGCTTCTTTCGTCATACTTTCCTGCTGCTATAACAAGATTTCTTGACAAATCAACTTTAAGGAGAATGGTTCAATTTGTCTGACAGTTCTGAAGTACAGGCCCTCATGGGAAGAAAATGATGGAGGCAGGAATTTGATGCAGCTGGACACATGAACAGTTAGGAGAGGAGGAAGGACTAGTGCTGTGCTCAGTCACTTTCTTTTTCTCACAGTGTCCACAACCCACGTCCAGGGAATGGTCTTCCCATCCCATTGAGCCTAATCAAGATGAATCCTTTTAGGTGTGCCTGGAGGCTTGTCTCCTGGATCTTTCCAGATCCTGTTGACAGTCAGCAATAATCATCTACACCAATAGTTCTCTGCCTTTCTAATGCTCTGACCCTTTAATACAGCTTCTCATGTTGTTGACCCCAACCATAAAATTATTTTGTTGCTACTTCATAATTGTAATTTTGCTATTGTTATGAATTGTTATATAAATATCCGATAGGCAGGAAGTCTGATATGTGACCCCCAAAGGGGTCATGACCCACAGGTTGAGAACTGCTGATCTAGAGGATTGTTTCATGGTTTATGCTAGTTCTCTTTCATTTCTGTTATGTTTTTGGTCATCTTCATAGTGATAGCAAGCTGGGCTGTGGGAGGGTAGCGTAGTGATCATAAAGTGACTTGTTTTCTTTCTCCCCTTAGAGTTGGTAGAGCAAACATGATAGGCAGCAAGGTTTTTCTTTAGTTTTTCTTTTTCTTTCTTTCTTTTTCTTTTTTCTTTTTTTGCTAAGAAAACACATAAGGAACTGATCAGAAAGAAAGCTAGTGCACATAGGAAAGAGAAAATTTTAAATAGTTAACCTTAATGCATGGAATCGATTGGTATGATTAGATATTTAGTGATGGGCAATTTTGAAAATATTAAATAATATAATTTTTATTTCAGTACTGGGTATTGAATTTACCCACGGTCTTGTACGTGCAAATGCTTTACTGCTGAGCTATATGGTTGGTCCTAAAACAATATTTTTAAAGTATGACTGGATTACTCTTCTTCCCCTCCCTCCCGCCTTTTTTTTTTTCTTTTCTTTTGAGACAAGATCTCACTATATAGTCCTGGCAGGTCTGGAAATTGTTGTTGGCTTGCCTTGAATTCACAGACATGAATTCAGTGCTGGGGCCCTGACTGAATGGAAAGGCATTTATCTCATTCTTTTTCTTGAGAACAATACAGCCACCACATATTGCTTCTGCCTTTCCTGCCTTCTAGTAGAGTTTACCCTCAAACCATGAGCCAAATAAACTCTTCCTTCCTCCTTAAGTTGCTTTTGTTAAGTATTTTGTCACAAGGAAAATATGGAAGCTGAATGTGGTGGCGCATTCCTTTAATCTCAGAATTCAGGACAGAGGAAGTCAGAATGCTCCAGGCTAGTTTGGTCTACATAGCGAGTTCCAAGCCAGCCTGGGCTACATAAGAACTAGGAGACAGATGGTCTCTTGGACTAGTAGAAAGAGTAAAGGAATATGGTTGAGGGAAAAGTAAAATAAACTTCTTGGTACCATGTGTTCATGTACAAGTTAGCTTTCTGTGTAAGAAAATATCAGAAGCGCTCAACTTATAAAGAGAAAATGTTACTTTAACTTATTCAACTGGGTATGTTTGTGCACACCTTTAATCCCAGCATTCAGGAGGCAGAGGCTGGCAGATCTCTGAGTTTGATATCAGCCTGGTCTACAGAGTAAGTTTCAGGACATCCAGGGCTACACAGAGAAACCCTGTCTTGAAAAAATAAAATAACCAAAACTAACCAACCAACCAACCACCCAACCAAACATACTCTTTCAGAGATCCCAATACATGATCAATTGACTCTGTTGCTTTGGTCCTGTAGTGAATCAACATATTATGGCAGGAGCAGTGTGTGATGGAACAGAACCACTTACTTCATGGATAAGAATCAAAAAAGAAAGGAGGCGTCGGGAAAGAAGGAGAAGGCAACTGGGTCCTTACATTTCCTTCAGTAGCACACCCATAAATGACCTAAGGAGTCTTCATGAGGCCACACCTCCTAAAGGTTCTACCACTTTCCCATAGCCCCAATCTAGGAACTTGCTCTATAACCATGCGATATAGGAGACATTCAAGATCCAGACCATGATAGAAAATGTTTATAGAAGGATATTACTTCAAAGTCCTGTTATAACTCACTGCTTATGGAAAGAGGTGAGATATCTTCTTGTACTTATAGTCATACTGTTCTGCTGCCACTCAGTAAGGTATTGGTCTCCTCTTTATGTACCTTCCTGTGGACCTACATCTTAGGTACTATTATAACTGATGAATAATTCCCTGACCTCCCCAGTGCCTTTCTTTTGGTAAATGGAGTTATCCTTATGACACATTTGAGAAGAAAATGAGTGTTTTGCCTGTAAGTATGTCTGGGCACCATGTACATGCCTGGTGCTTTTGGAAGTCAGGAGAGGACACTGAATTCCTGAATTCCTGAAACTGGACTTACAGATGGTTATGAGCCACCATATGGGTACTAGGAACCAAACCTGGGTCTTCTTCAAGAACAGCAATTGCAATCTAACTGCTGACCCATCTCTCCAGTCTTCAAAAAGTTTTAAAAATAAATTTAGACCTCAATTAATGCATATTGTAATTGGTTATATGTGTGTGAGTGTGTGTTTATACACACATACACACCCATGGCCCACTAAGAATAACTGTTATTGTGCAGCAGAGTATAGTGTGATATTAATGAGGTGTATTCATCATTGGATAGGTGGTAGTTCTATATTTTTGTTAAAAATATGTTCTTTACAGAATCTAGTTAAGAAAGATGCAACTTTAGAGAGATTCATAACATTTTTGTTAATGAACCATGTATCAGGGATTGCCTGTTACATATTTAACTAAAGGCAGTAAAAATAGTCCTGTCACATCCCTTAAAATAAATGGAAGAAATTTCTTTTCTTTGAGATAAGGCCTTTCTGTTATACAGCACTTGCTGTATAGTCAGGCTGGCCTTGAACTCAGAGAGATCCACCTGCTTCTGCCTCCTGAGAGATGGGATTAAAGGCGTGAGCCACCCTGCCCAGCTAATTGAAGAAATTTCAAAGTAGTAATGGACCATGACTCATTTGCTTGTGCTGTTAATGGTGTTCAGCTGTCAGGTTCTCATATGCTCTGTACTGCCTTTAGTAGACGCCCATCTTCAAGCCGCATAGAAGATGGCTGAGATGGGCTGGTGAGGTGACTAAGAGCACTTGGTCTTGTAGAGGACCTGAATTTGATTCCCAACACCCACATCAGGCAGCTCACAACTTCCTGTAACTCCAATTCCAGTGTATCCAATGCCCTTCGACCTCCACAGGCACCTGTATACATGTAGTGCATATTAACTCATGTAGACACATATGTACACTAAACAAACAAACAAATACATCTTTTTTTTTTGAGGGTTACACTGTGTATTCTACTATAAGCAATCCCCTTAGCAAAAACCCATTAAACAATTACAAATTTTCTGAGCTTTACATTGGTTAATGGTGCAATACCTTTTCTATTCTTTTTTTTTTTTTTTAACCCTGATTGCTCTTCGAGCAGATGAGGGAGGGGGACTTGATCGGGGGAGGGGGAGGGAAATGGGAAGCGGTTGTGGGGACGAGGCAGAAATCCTTAATAAATAAATAAATTAAAAAAAAACAAATACATCTTTGATAAAAGAAAAAAAATACTAAAAAGAAGAAGTCTGAGAAATACCTAGAAGCTCAGTTAGCAGAATGGGTGAGTGCTTTAGATGAACTCCCTAGAGATTGCCGTCAGGTACTTCTGATGCTGTACCACTGCTGATGATGCTTTAGAGAACATGAGTTTGTGTGGGAAGACTAAAACCTTATAGGTGCTTAGCAAACATGAAGAAGTGGAGATGGACATATTTTAGGGATACTTTAATCACTTCCAGTTGTATTTTTATAAAAGGTATTGAAAACCTATGTTGAGGCTCTAGAGAGGGGTCAGCATTTAAGAGCCCTTGCTATGCAGTCCTGCGGATTGGAGTTTGAACTGTGGAACTAAGAAACAAACTGAAAATAGTGCAGACACCTGTAGCTCTGGCTCCAAGGGTCTGACATCCTCTTCTGGGTCCCACGGCCACTGGGTGTCTGCATACACACATAAATAAGTAAATAAAGCTGCTCTTTAAAAACAACCTTTTATTACTTCAGTTTTAAAAGCACTCTCTGGTTGTGTATAAATTAAATATTCTATGTGGGAGGAAAATACTGTAGCTAAATTGGCCTCTATTTTTACTTCTCCACTTGTTACATAGTATGTTTTGCCTTGCTATTAGCGTTGTCTTGGACTTTGAAATGCAGCCTTTGACTATGATTAAGGTTCTTAACTTAGTTTAGACATAATTCCCATCATTTAATTGGAAAACATGAAGTGCAGGACGATGGTGGCCTGGCATAAGACTGTCCCAGAGTTCATGCCAGTATCATTTAGTGATTCCAGAACTTAAGTAGTTCAAGAGATGCACATTTGATTAATGTCGTTATCAGAGTGGAATTCAGGGAAAGAATTCAGAGTGAGAAGAGCCCAGTTAAAACTTAATTTCATAGTAAAATCATAGCCTATCAAAAGGATGGAATGTTTATTTTGTCGGTTTTATCTTTTGCATATTCAGGCACCAAAGGGAAGGGAGATGGAATACTGTAGTGACTTTGTTGAGATCTTCTGCAACCCTAAAATTGTGTCATCCTTTTCCTTTTGACAATGTGGTTGGTTGGCAAGTGAATGGAATGTTCATCACCTACCACTTAGCCATGTAGGTCATAAATAAACCTAGGATTGCATTTATTTTCTTTTATAGTTGTTGACTAAGATTTATGTCCTGCCCAGTCCCACAGCCATTCAGCCCCAAATAAACAGAGGTCTACATTAATTATAAACTGGTTGGCCTATTAGC